CTCAGATTATATATTTTCCAGGAACCTCGTATGGAAGTAATGTCTCCTGGATCAAAGAATCTACAGACTTATTTGGTGAACAGGATGTTGGTTTATGTGTACCGAGAATTTTCGAAGCGTGGTCAGCACCACTCAATTGCTGCAGATGAGCTGTCTTTCTTATTTTCTAACTTGTCAGATGCAATCATCAAGAAGAACATGAAAACTTGTGCTGTTTTAAAGGTATCTCATCAAATTCTCACGCCCGCATAAGTAGCAGCTAGAGTTGCAGAATTGCATTTTTTCTCTTTTATTTTTCTTATTGCGTCATCATGCTTCTGTATCATGCTGACCTCTTACATGAATGTACAAAATGCAGAGGGATAAAAATGGCCAGCAATGTTGGTACAAAAAAAAAGATTTTCCAGATCCACCACCTGAGAATGAGCTGAAAAAGCTGGTGGCACCAGAGCATGTAAGTTTTGCCTTAGAGTTAATTTTACTACACAATTTTGTTTCCGCTGCCAAATTTGGATTAAATGGAAGTATATACTCTAAGATGCATGGTATTCTATATTTTGTTGGCCTAGGTTTGTTCCTATGAGAGTATGCTAGCTGGGCTGTACCGGCTCAAACATTTAGGGATCACTCGGTTTACACTACCTGCCAGCATATCAGCTGCATTGGCTCAGCTCCCAGACGAAGCTATTGCTCTTGCTGCTGCATCACATATTGAGAGGGAGTTGCAGATTACTCCATGGAATCTAAGCAGTAATTTTGTTTCTTGTACAAACCAGGTGAGCATCAGATATCTATAATTGGGAGTTACCTAGCCAGTGAGTTTCTATCTGTAAGTTATGTTATTAACTTAGGAGTTAGTTAACCCTAACCAGCTACTCCGTAAAAGGGGTGTTTATTCTCGGTTCTGTTTAATAGATACGCCAGGGTGATACATTATTAGGTCTTTGCAAACAAGATTAGAATCTATTTTCAGCTCTATCTTCTCTAGTTTTGCTAACGGCCTTTCTGAATCTTGTCAGTGGAGTTGATTTGATACTTTTGATAAGCCATTGCTCATGCTTTCGTTACTTGGCTGGTTCAATACTCACATATCTGATTCTCATTTGTGGGTTTGAGTAGGACAGAGCAAATATAGAGCGTTTGGAAATTACTGGGGTTGGTGACCCCTCTGGACGGGGTCTAGGATTCAGCTACGTCAGAGCTGCACCAAAAGCACCAGCTGCAGCCGGGCATATGAAAAAAAAGGCAGCAGCCGGTCGTGGGGCCCCAACTGTCACCGGTACAGATGCTGATCTTCGCAGATTAAGCATGGAAGCAGCTCGAGAGGTATACATTTCTTTGTTTCAGATGTCTAGGAACCTAAAAGGACATCTTTCTTACAAGTTTCCCTTTTCTTCTGGACTATTACTAAAGTAAAGCCCATCGAAAATTTGAATTAAGAGATGCTGATATGATTTTGCTGTTACATTTATAGGTTCTTCTTAAGTTTAACGTCCCTGATGAGATAATCGCCAAGCAAACTCGATGGCATCGTATAGCTATGATACGGAAGCTATCAAGTGAGCAGGCTGCATCCGGTGTTAAGGTTGACCCTACAACCATAGGCAAGTATGCTCGTGGCCAGAGAATGTCTTTTCTGCAGATGCAACAGCAGGCCCGAGAAAAGTGTCAGGAGATTTGGGACAGGCAGCTTTTGTCCCTTTCAGCTTTTGATGGTGATGAGAATGAAAGTGAAAATGAGGCGAACAGTGACTTGGACTCCTTTGCCGGAGATCTGGAAAATCTACTTGATGCTGAGGAAGGTGGGGAGGGGGAAGAATCTAATATGTCTAAGAATGACAAGTTGGATGGAGTTAAGGGTCTTAAGATGAGACGGCGGCCATCTCAAGTTGAGACAGATGAAGAAATTGAAGATGAAGCTACTGAATATGCAGAGTTATGCCGATTGCTGATGCAAGGTACTTGCTTTCAACTAAGCATTTATGCTATTAGCTAAAGGTTTTTTTTTTTGTCAATGAATCACTGATTGGTGGTGCTTATTTAGATGAGGATCAGAAGAAGAAAAAGAAAAAGTTGAAAGGTGTGGGAGAGGGAATGGGATCCTTTCCTCCTCCACGACCCAATATAGGTTTTCAGATTGGTGAACCTTTACGAAAGGCCAATGCCATTGACAAGAAACCTATTGCCATCCAACCTGATGCATCTTTCTTAGTAAACGAAAGCACAGTCAAAGACACCAGACATGTCAGTACAAGTTTGAAATTTTTTTTAAACCCTTTACTCTTATCATCTCCAATTACTATGTCAAACAATCATGTGTTTACCAACTCATATTGTATTCCCCCCTTCACTGGCAGGTTGATAGCCCTATTATAAAGACCCCCAAAGGTAAACAGGTGAAAGAGAACAGCAATTCTTTGGGCCAGCTAAGGAAGGTCAAAATACTGAATGAAAACCTAAAGGTGCAATCAAATCAGTACAACATTAATAAAATTTAGATTATTCTCATACTTTTATGGTCATTCTTAGGTGTTCTTTGTTCTCTTGGTCTAAATCAGGTATTCAAAGAAAAGAAATCGGCGAGAGAGAACTTTGTTTGTGGAGCCTGTGGTCAGGTATAATTACTTATTAGACTAGATTTTTAATCTCAACTTGCTTCTTAGAGAAAAGTATTTGATATTATCTTCATGGCCAGCATGGGCACATGAGAACCAATAAACACTGCCCAAGATACAGAGAAAATACAGAATCACAACCTGAAGGCATAGATATGGAGAAGTCTGCGGGAAAACCAAGTTCTTCAGAACAATCAGGTCAGCCTAAGCTGAAACCTATTAAGAATAGCAAGGCTGCGCCAAAAAGTGCAATGAAAACTTCTGTAGATGAAAAGGGAGATAAATTAACTGCCAAAACTGGGGGTCTCCCTCTGAAGTTTAGATATGGTATCCCCACTGGAGAGCTGTCAGATAAACCTGCTTCTGAAGCTCCCGGAACTTCTGAGCAAGCAGTGGTGTCTGACATAGACACTGGGACTAAGTCCACATCTAAGATCAGCAAACTGAAGATTTCAAGTAAGGCAAAACCTAAAGAATCAAAGATTGAATCTAATAGACCTTCGCATCCATTGATGTCTACATTTAGTAGAGAAAGAGGGGAGAGCGAATCACACAAGCCTTCTGTTTCTGGACAACCTTTGTCTAGTACAGACAGAAATCAGGCAGCCTCAAGCAGGCACACTATTTCTATTCCGCGGCCATCATTGAGCATGGATACAGATCAAGCTGAATCACGTAGGCCTCATCTCGTGATACGACCGCCGACAGAAAGAGAACAGCCTCAGAAGAAACTTGTTATAAAACGTTCGAAAGAGATAAATGATCATGACATTAGTAGTCTTGAGGAGAGTCCACGGTTTGAGTCCCGTAAAACAAAAAGAATGGCAGAACTGGCGGGTTTTCAGAAGCAGCAAAGCTTCAGATTATCAGAGAACTCTCTAGAGCGAAGACCAAAAGAGGATAGAGTATGGTGGGAAGAAGATGAGATAAGTACGGGAAGACATATGGAGGTAAGGGCAAGAAGAGATTATGACGATATGACTGTATCAGAAGAGCCCAATGAGATAGCTGAGATCAGAAGATACGAAGAGGTACTACGGAGTGAGAGGGAGGAAGAGGAACGGCAAAAAGCCAAGAAGAAGAAAAAGAAAAAGAAGCTGCAACCCGAATTAATAGAAGGGTATCTAGAAGATTATCCTCCTCGGAGAAACGATAGAAGATTGTCAGAAAGAGGGCGGAACGTCAGAAGCCGCTACGTCTCCGACTTTGAAAGAGATGGTGCAGAGTATGCACCTCAACCAAAACGACGCAAAAAAGGAGAGGTAAGATTCTCTTTGCGTCCATATTTTTACTTTGTTCAGTCGAAGTTATTGCTCTATAGCCACGTAGCATGATTTCATGTGTCTTAATATCCTCACCGCTGCTGAAATTGTTATCACATATAGATTTGTAGTCTTGCCAGAAAATGAAACAAATGGGCGAGATCTACTGATACACAATCCTGTGTTGCTCTATGAAACTCATCTTCGTTTTCTCTCCTCAATTCATTTACCTGCAGGTTGGTCTAGCAAACATCTTGGAACGCATAGTGGACACTCTAAGACTTAAAGAAGAAGTGTCAGGCCTCTTCCTGAAACCGGTTTCGAAGAAGGAAGCTCCAGACTATCTTAATGTTGTGAAAACCCCTATGGATCTGTCGACAATCCGGGATAAAGTACGGAAGATAGAGTACAGAAACAAAGAGCAGTTTAGACACGACGTCTGGCAGATCACATACAATGCTCATCTTTACAACGACAGGCGTAACCCAGGCATACCGCCTTTAGCAGATCAGTTGCTGGAGATTTGTGATTACTTGATAGAAGATTATGGAGAACAGATATTAGAAGCAGAGAAAGGTATAGTAGATCCCAATGACTGAGAGAATTGTAATATAGAATCCTGTATCCCCCCTCTTTAGTCCCCTCCCAAAATTGGGTTTCATAGCTTAGCTAATGATTTGTACGAATAGAAAAACATTCCCATGTTTGTGTAAAGCCCAAGTAATGAAAAAGAAAAGAAAAGAAGTCGTTCTTTTTTTCTTTTTTGTAAAATTTTTTGAGGGCTTCCTTTGTAAACAAATAATCTTTTCCGTAACTATCATCAGTACTCTTACAGGAGTCTTGTTGATTAGAAGATGAGGTACGGTAATTAAGGAGAGTAGAACAATCCGTTGATGTATCATCATCCATTTGTCGACCTTTCGTAGAAGCCACATGGTTTGGTAGGTTCAGCATCACTAAACGTTTCATAAGCGACATAAACGCAAAACGTTAAAGTAATGATGACACATTCGTTTTTGTCTTCAGGGAAGTGAGCATGTTGCGCCTTGCTTCTCATCGTGCATTAGCTTTTGTCTATGTTGTTTGCTTTGGACTTTTCCTCCTCACCAAGAAGTCTCTCGTGTAACCCATGAAGTTTAGCTTACCATACAATATGTAGTTATGTACAACGTTTCATATCAAAATGTATATTCATGTTACCAATTTGGTTTTGCATTTGTTGTTTTTCCAAAAACGTTGCATGTACCATGACACAACCTAATTGGCCTAAATTAAGGCCAATTTAGCAAAGGATCGCTTCAACACTTGAATTTCGCAACGTCAGACACAACGGGCAGGCAAGTGCTGTCCGGTCACATCCCGGGCAGATGCTTAGATGTCGACACGGCAACATCACCACCGTCGCTTCTCTTTTCCGGCAAGCTTTGCAGCTCGGCCTTGTCATCCTCTCCGGATCAATGTACGCCGACTCGGCGTCCTCCAATCCGCTGATTCCCGCTCCTGCGCATAATAGTCCTTCCTCCGCCGCTCTGCTATCTTGCGCCGATAGACCACCGCATTTGTTAACGGCTTGGTGAAGCTGAGCCTGCAGCGACGCGGCGGTGGCTTCCTGCGATTTGGCTATGCCTTGCCAAGCTTGAGCATCATTTCTCAGCTGCGATTCACGCGCCACCAGCTCATCGTGACGGCGCGTGGCTCTCTCTATCTCTGCCTCTTTCTCTCTCAGCTTACGTACTAACGGCTCCTCCACAGCACCGATCAGCGCTTTATAGTGCTTGTTCCTCCTCTCCACTAATGTACGCCGTAGCTCCTCCGCCTATACAAATAAAAAAAAGGAACAATTTTTAACTTTCCGGTGAGAATAAAAATCAAAACTTTTCAGAAACCCAAGACGAAATCAAAACCTGGACACGAAGCAACCCATCAAGCTCTTCGCTTTGCCTATTGATATGTGACGAAAAAACATCTTCAAACGAACCGGAGACAAGATTCTGACGCTGAGTACTAATCTTTTGTGTCTGATCGTCGCCGGAAGACAACCGTAGTCCTGTCTGAACCATATCCAACGGCTGATGATCATAGTTGTGTTGTAATAAAGATAAGTCTAAAACTTGTGGGAACTGATGATGATGAGGTGACAACAACACTTGATGATTGTTCATTTCTCTTCCTCTCTTCCTCTGATTACAACCTACAAGCCCCCAAATACATTCTCACTTTGTTCAACAAGTTTTAACCAATATACAAAAAAAAAACAGAACTTTACAAAACCTCCATTGTTGAATAACATATTGGTTTGATCAAGAGTCTGTGACTGCAACGAAAAATCTTGTTCCTTGTCTTTCCCGTTTCTATTCACACAAAAACCATAATCAACATAACAAGATCGTAAGGATTCAATAACAGAGAAGAAGAAACAAAACGAACCTTTTGTTAAGGAAGATGAGATTAGAGGAATGGTGTTGAGCTTGGACAGCCATTTTAGTGATTCAAAAAGCTCTTTACATCATCATCTTCATCTTAAAACGTATTTGAAACTCTCTGTTGTTGTTTCTGCACCTTTCACTATCTCTATCTTTGTATGTATATAAATATAGGTGGTGGTAATAAAAAAAGAGAGAGAGCAATGAGAGAAGAAAGAGTCTTTCTTGTAGGTTGGGTTTGTATCTTTTGGTTCTCTTCTTTGGTAATTGCTTTGGCTTTTTCTTTAAGATTCTTCTCTCTCTCGTGTATTCAACCACGCCATTACTTCTCGCTTATTCCAAGAAATACACAAAAGAAAAACAAAAAAAAAAGTGTATAAATAAAACGGAAATCGATATTTCTACTGTTTATTCGGTGACCAAGTTTTTTCATTAGTGTTTTTTTTACTTTTTTTTTACGACCCCAAATTAATTTAAAAGATTTATTAAAAAAATTGTACAAAATTCTGTAAATAAATTTCTTATAACAAAAGATGGGAAACATAAATCTCTATGGATTCGAATGGTTGCAACGATTAGAATGGATAAATCCTTTTTTTTATTATTTATTAATTATAATATGTAACGGTTTTAAAATAAATAGAAAAAATCGTTATAAAGTAAATATGAACCGTTTATATAGAAATAGTTTTAGTGTTCACAGCGGTTTTGTTTTCCGCTTTAAAGTAGTATAGACTAAACCTTAGTCCGCTTTGCCTCCCTAGATTAAAATCCTATAATTTTTGCATATTCTCTATTGTACTAAGCAAAGGTATATTTAAAAATTAAAACCACATTTTCTTAGCAAAATATTGATAATGAAGTGCAAGTCACTAATCATAACATGTGTGAGACTTGGTTGATTTCTTACCTTAGCATAATAGATAACATAATTAGACTATTAGACAGCAACTTCTTCTCACCTTTTTTTTCATTATGTATTACTATAATACTACTATTCATTTATAATTGAGTGTTTTACTCTTTCTTTGTAGTTTGGTGACATAATTATTCTTTGTCTTTTCAGATCTTATTACTTTTCAAGTAATGGATAATATCATAAGCAATGTTTCTATGATATTGATTCGGAGTTCGAATAGGTTACATACAACATCAAAACTAAATGATTTACGTTATCAAACAAAAATTATATATGACCAAAACCATTATGAAAATTAGGTGGTAATCAACAATAGTAAAATCATACGTTACAAGTTATATACATAGAAATTAAAAGTGATATAAGACCAAAACCATTGTAGAAAACTATAAATTAGGTGGTAACAAATTGTTGTTAATTATTGAAAGCTTTAACATACATTATGAGCTCATTTGAGTTGGTTGATCTCATATTCTCATGTCCCAACCACAACAAAAACACCGTGCGTTAACATGTTTGCAGATTGAATAATCTACACACACGGCAACATGCATATATAAATTTGTTGATTTGTATAACCAAACAAAACAGCATATGTATCTAAAGTTTATGTACACATAAATTGAATATATGGTTGAGACTAGAAACAAAACTAAACGTTAAATTTTATGGATATGTTTTGATTGATAGTGGAATTGGGGCAGCAAAAACAAAATTAGAATCTATAAAGTTTGGATTTAGTCGTTTTCAAGATATACGTGTTGAAAATGGCCTATGATGGTTGGATTCTTTTCCCCAAAGATGACCGGTTTAATTAGACTGAGCAGTTATCCAAAATACCAAACCAAAACTTCATCTATTAGAAGAGTCTTAACAAAATGAAATGATCTCGAAACTGGTTTTTCTATTAGCAATCAAATAAGCAATTTTAAATCTAACAAGTAACATACAGTGAAAAATCAAATGAGATGCAATCAACAGCTTTTATCCATTGCTGAGTTCTAATATCTAATTGATGATCAACACTACTTTACAAGAATATGCTTTAAAGACTCTTCAGGATCTGTTTTGAGGGATGTTTGATCATTGTACAATACCTTGATCACAAAAGATCTGGAGTTTGGAGTTCAATTCATCGGCAGGATGCTCTCGACTTCACAAAGTTACAACATTGTCAAAAGATTGGAGATTCCCGCTGATTTTTTGAAATGCTTCTTCGCTCATCTCAACTTTTCGGACTTGAGCGGGGAAAACCTTGTTCTTCTCGGATGCTGCAGGAGAAGTAACATGACTGCAGAGTTTTGATTTCATCTCTAAGCAAGATTTGAGATCTTCTTCGGTTCTTGCTTTGTTCAGTTTATCGACTATTTCATTCAAAGCTGAACCTTTGTCTTGCCATTTCTTTCTTTTCGTCCGCCTTTTCTTTTCATCTTCATCATCTGAAGAGCCACCATATTCTGTTCTCTGAAGCTTAAACAAACCGGCTTTGATAGTCTCCGTGATCCGCTTCTTAAAGCTCTCTGTTCTTGCAGAGTTCGATCTCAGCCTCAGTTTAAGCTCTGGAATATTTTTTTCCTCGTTGTTTCGTTCAGAAGCTGCAGCTCTGGGAACCTCTTCATCAGGGACAGATGTAAATGAAATTGCTTCTTCGAGTAAATTCACATTACTCATGTACCGATCAAAAGCTTCATTTTCTACTTCAATGTTTCTGTCTCTATACTCTTTAAGCTTTGTAAACCGCCACTCATTTAAAGCTTGAGCATCCTAGATTAAAAGAACAACTGATTAGAGAAAAGCAACTAATAGTAGATTTTCTCGATGAGTAATGAAGTCAACAAAAGACATCTTAATTAGTACCTTTATCGTCAAAGGTTTTCTCTGGCGGGAGGAAGCATTCAAGTTATTAAACTGAGCAAAGTTGCTAGAGAGTTGGCGGATTGACGAAACTCTAGTTGTAGTCCTGAAGGAGTTCCCAACAGAAGATAAATGTCAACTTAAAGAGACCATCTTTTTAGTTCCAAAAGAACATACATATATAGCATCTCAAATTCAACTATGTTCAATAACAAGAAAACTGAGCAATGTCCTAACAAAGTAAGCAAACCAAATTGTCATCTGAGATTCACTTCCCCCCAAAAGCACTAACAAATAAAAAAACTAAAAAAATGGTTTGTGTATACGTACCCAGGAGTGCCTTCAGATGCTTTCTGGTCTGATGATGGAGTACTTGGCGCCTGCATCTTCTCACCAGGAGTCGCAGCTACTTTAAGAACTGCAGCGACATAAACACATAAGCCGAAACACAAAACAAGCCATGATAAGCAAATCTATATTTCTCAACTAATCACAAGCACTCTCAAAGAATCAGTCTTCCAATACTCTCTTCTCTTATTCCAGAATCTCTATCGGAATCATTGTTCCACACTAAACACTAAACTTACCAAGTGAAAGAAACAATTACTAGAATATCCTTATCAATGATATCAAAACTAAACACTACAACTGTTCTTCAGCTAAGTATCTTCTCAAATTCAGATTCAAAGGGGAAGAGAGTAGACCATACCGTGAATAGGGCAGGGGTTCTCTGCTCTTGAACAACAACCCTTACAAGATTGAAACGGGCACCTGCATTAAACACATCCAAGCAATACAATTACACTCATCAATAAACCAACATCACTCCCAATTATCTAAAAAAAAAAAACTCATCTTTTCGAAACTAAAGCTCAAAACTTTAACCAATCTCAAGAATCTTTAGACCCATCAACCACCAAATCATGGAGAAAACTCAAACCCCAACACATAAGAACCCTAAATTCGATTCCTTTCAGATCAAAAACCTAAAGAATCAACCACAATTCAAAATCTAGAAATGAAACAATGCGTAGAAAGAAGCAAGACCTGGAGCGAGCAACGTTGCCGCATTGGATACACTTAGGTTTATTGAGACCACGGAGAGTCTTGGGAGGCGTGACGACGGCGGAGAGGCCATTGTTACTCAGAGACGGTGACGAAGTCGCCATCTTTCTTTCACCGGAGATCAAATTGAAATCGCTACTTAACTGTCAAAATTGAAAACCGTTATTGAACGAAAGAGAAAAGCTAACTAACCAAAAAAATAAAATTCGAATCGAAAGGATTGGTTTTTATTTTGTTTGGTCGCTCTGATTTTTGAGAAGTGATCTCTCTCTCTCTCTGACGCTCGGTTCCACGGCGGGTCTAGGGCTCCGGTTATTAAAAAAGTACACACGTGAGTCGTTTTAATGGGCCTGGATCAAAGCCCAATAAGTTCTCTTTAAATTGAACCGAACTTAACCAAATCATGAACTTTTAGTCCGGGACTTGTTTTAACAAAGTTTAAAATACTTTTTTTTTTTGGTTTTAATGTTAAGAAAGTTTAGGTTTATAATACTTCCAATAGAAAACCCACAAATCTATTGATAGTCCAAGTAATTTAGGTTATTCATGTATATATATAGACATGTTTAGGAACAACAAGGAACGTAATTTAGGGTTTTTGCCGTTTTTTTTCCCTCATCTCTGATTAATTCTCTTCTTCCCTATATTGTATATGTTTCTATCTTCATAAGAATGTCAAATTTGATTTGACAGAAACAGTGAAAACAAAATCACTCTACCAATTGACTTGTAGTTTGAAGCTTTGATTTGGACGTTACAATTGATATCAAAGCTTCTATTTTGAAGTTCTGATGCCAAATGTAACGAGTAGATCAAAGCTTTAAGGTAGAAGTCAATATGATGAAAGGAGAAAAATATATGTAATGTTTTGGTTTCGGGTTTGAAAGGATGTATGTTATTCGATACACAACCTCTTTGATTATTCAAAAGAAAAAATATATATACATATGTGTTTGGATTTTTACTATCTTAGTTTTGGTGAGTTCAACTTTAAGTGTTTTATCTTATTGGTCTCTATTGATAATTATATGACTTATTGCGTAATCTTTGCTGGATTTGCACTTTTAATTTGTTTAGATCAGTCAAATTTGTATGGACTTAAAGATTAGGATGTATTAACACATAAAACTAGTTTTCTAGACATGATTATATTCGATTAAAATAGTTTTAGTAGTATGTGTAGTAAAAATCTACACAACGATTCAAACTTAACAACTCTGATTATACTAGAGACTTTTCTAATTAATGTTTGCAATCTTGTACTTGACGATGGCCATGTCACAAAATTTCTCTGTAACTCTCACTTTCCACACCAATGTATTAAAAGTCTAATATTCGTAGGCATGAGTTTTAGGTTTTTAGCCCAATACAGATTTCTCTTCAAATTAAACTGAACTTAACAAAATCAGAAAATACATAAATCAGTCGGTTTGTGGATAGATATATTATTTTTCTCTTTATTGTTAACCAGGAGTAAGAATCGTTCTTATCAAGTAAACTTTTAATTTTTTAGAATATCGTTGAAGTCCTATTCTCGAGTATCTAATTTGCAACAGTTGTGTGTCTATATAGATGTTAAAATTGATTAACAAAGACTGTGAATAATTCTACCAATTGTCATGTACTTTGAAGCTTTGATCTAGACCTAACTTTAGGTATCAAAGCCTCTATGTTAACACCATACATTTTAGAAGCTCTGATACCAAAATGATAGGTTTAGATCAAAGCTTTAAAGTATAAGTAAATTGGCAGAACCAAAAAAAAACACATTGTTCTATTTTTCATATTAAAAATCAAATTGTTAGAAAGCTTTTCATAACTTATTATCTTTCACCTTTTAGTTCTCGTAAATATCTATATTAATGTAATTGACTACGAGCTAAGTGTTTTTGTTAGAGGAGTAACAAATATACAAAGCTGCGCACAACTACTCTCTTTGCTTTCTAAAAGAGTAACTCTCTTCTTTATATATCTAGATCTTCTTAAAGATTCTTTTCCATAAGAATGTTAAAAACAATAAATCATTCTTCCTATAGACTTGTACCTTGAAGTTTTGATTCGGTTGTTTCAATTGGTAATTTAGCTTCTGTCTTGAAGCTAAAATGCCGAATGATTCAGCTAAGTCAAAGCACTTAGGGTTAACTGTCTTTGATTTTGCTACTTTCATATTCAATAGTGTTTATGTTCTGATAAGGATCTTTTTCAGTTCCTCTCTTTTTAAACTTATTGATCTCCGTTTTTTATCTTTAAAACTTTTGCGTAACATTAGCAGATTTTGCAGCTTCGATATATTGACAACGATGTGCAATAGAGACCAGACAAGTTGTATTCTTGAATTTACTTTGGGGTTTTAAGAAACTAGCTAGGCCAAAAAAAAAAAAACACAAAAGTATGGTTTTTTTTTTTTTGTTAAACCAAAAGTATGGTTTTAGACATGACTTAATTTAATTTATCATGTGTTTTTAGAACAAGGACCAAAACTAAACAAGTATGATTATAGCTAATCTAATCTTCATATTGAGGATGGCAATGCCCCAGATTTTCTCTGTTCCTCCCATTTTTCAACCTTCACAAAACAAAACAAATTTACAAAGTAGAAAATAAATAATAGAATTTGATATGAGTAATAATTACTCTTTCTTTTTTTTTGACCAAGAGTGATAATTATTCTTAAATCTTATTTTTAACTAAGAAGAAATGGCTCACCAATTCTTCGGGACACATCGAACGAACATAATCTCTCAAGTTGTTACAATCATTCGCATCTCTTCCATTTTTCTCAATACACCTATATATGTATTACACCATATTATAATTAACCCTATAATTAAATATTAAATATACTACTAATGACGCACTTTAAAAAGTTATTTGGTTGTAACCAATTTTTAAAACCTTACTTATGGTATTGCATGTATCGATTGAAACAATGTCGTGTTTCATTAGTCACCGGAAACATCTCATCCGCCTCTGAATCTTTCTCCTTTCCACCGTCGTCTTCTCCTCTCTTAGCTCGAAAAGTTGCCTCGTTTTGTGGTGGAGGCGATACCGTGCCGGGAGCGTGAGCTGGTCTTGGTGCTTGTTGGCCTCTCGCAACTTTACTCAAGTCGCGAGATCTCATCTTGTCGTGTGGATCCATTTGAGCCGACGACATCTCCGACCAACTTTACAATTCCGGGACTTTGGTTTTGTTCTTGAATTATATTTCTATCGGTACCTTCAACAGCAATGTTTAATAGCAGATGATCGATAACACGTCATAGCGGTTGTGATACACGTGACTTGGTCGAGAGACTTGCATGTGTTTTTCTCTTTTGCTATGGTCAAAACTTTGGAGCTTGCGTAAGTGTAGTAACGTTTTAAAATGATACTATATGGGCTTGAGTAAAGCATGTTAATCACTCTTTAAAGGTATGTTTTGGCCCAAAGCATAAATTTAAAACTCAATTCATCTCGTCTTTAGTAGTTTTGTAAAAATGTTGTATCATAAGAACTACAAATGTTAGTTGACTTTAAAAAAAAAAAAAAAATGTTCTTTACTTGTAACATCCCAAATGTTTAGTTTTTATTCGGACAAATCCAAATGTTTAATTTTAATACAAGGGAAGATTTATCATCTACTAAAAAAAGAGGAGTTTATAAGGAAACAACTGAAATTGGAAAAATGAAGAAGAATTTAATGATCATAGGCGACGGTAGAGATATAACCCTTTTTACTGGAAATTTAAACTTCAAAGATGGATACTCCATCAAGGATTCTGCCACATTTGGTAAAATATATGTTTTCTCTATATATTAGTAGAAAATTAGGTTTTTTTCTTCTATATATCATGGTCAAATCATTTTTTTAATACAATTTACAGCGACTAACACTAACGGATTTATGGCGCAATTGGTTCCAAAACACGGCTGGACCAACTAAGAACCAAGCTGTTGCTCTCCACGTGAATGCTGATCAATCTTTCTTATATTGTTGTCGAATAGAAGGTTACTAAGACACGCTTTTCGTTGAGCGGAAACGACAGTTCGATCATGATTGTTATATCACGTGAACCACAGACTTTATTTTTGGGATGCTAAAATATTGCTAAAATATTGCTAAAATATTGCTAAACCATTATTCATAATATTGCTAAAATATTTTAAAAAACTTAATTTATCAATTACCCCCTAAAATATGATTATACCATTTTATAAAAATTGTTATTTCTTAACTCTCAGTTTTAAAAAAAAAATCATTCTAGGCTCTATAGTTTATTGTATTTTATCAAAATTAATTAATTATTATTAAATTTGATGGTATAGTTCTTTCAAATTATTATCAATCTAAAATATAATATTACTGACAAATAAAGTCAGTCGTAAAGATGTTTATATAAAAAAATGCTAATAAACATAAAGAGTTAAAAAAATATAGCATCGTTGAGAAAAACATTAAGGAAATTTTCAAATACGAATTATAAAAATTACATCTTTACAAATATTATTTTTGAAATCATTATATTATGAATTATATTGAACTTTATTTATCTTTAATTTCGGCTAAAAATGTTATTTTTAAAACTCTTTTATCCACCATCTTTTATCGACCATCTTATTTTAAATATTTAAAAATTATAACATATTATAAAATCAATCATTAATAATAATATTTATTAAGTTGAATTCATAATGATCTCCTTTAGTTGTAAAATGTAAATCATGATTCTCCTTTACAAACCCAAACTGATTTGTAAAATATAAATCATAGTTATAACCCAAATCGATATATAATGTTATTTAATTATAAAAACTAAAATATAGTACCTATTTATAAACTCAAACTAACATATAACCCATATAATTGTAAAACATATGTCTCAATCTTCCTTTATAAACAAAAAGAAATAACATATAATCTTGTTAAATCGTAAATCCTAATATCATTGATAAATCTCAACCGACATAACCCAATATTAGGTTAATAGTTTAACTTTTTCATTAAAAAGTTTGAATATAATTATTTTATAAATTTCTTTTTCAATATGGTTTTTGAAAACTAATTTTATATTAATATTAACAAAACTAAATATAGCATGCAGCGACATATTATGTTTTACTTGACACTTACCATGATCATGTGAGTTAGTAACTGCTAAATCTAAACCATATATATATATATATATATATATATATAATATCGTTTAATTGTTAAATATAAACCATAATCCTCATTTATAAAAGCAAAACTATAATTTTTATTTATAAACCAAAAACAACATATAACATGTTTTAATTGTAAAATTAAAATCTAAACCTTTACAATTAAAATCTAAACCTTAATTCTTCTCAGACTATGAAACCGACTTATAATCTCGTTTAATTGTAATTTTTAAATCCATATCTTCTTAATAAATCAAAAATACATAATTATAATTAGCTTATTTGTTTATTTTTTCAAATATAATTGTTTATAATACTTACTTTATATATTTTCTTATTTGATATTATTAAGAATATTTCTATTTTTATCTAAACATTCACAAAATTAGTATTGACACGTGTCAACATCTTATCGTTTATAATTAACATATGTCACGATCTTGTTAATGACTAACTTTGAAAACCAAGCTTTATATAATAAGATGTTTGCTTCACAAAAAAAAAACTCAATTTATTTCTTTTTATATTTTGATCTTAAATTAGTTAAAAAAATAAAGTAATCATTTCAATAAATTTGTTTATGTGTATAACTTTTGTAAGAAAAATTATGATAAACCAAAAAAAAAAACTTTTTAATAAACGAAAAAACCGGCACATAAGACTTCTAAAATTTTTGAACTTATTGAACATAATTAAGTTTTGACCAAAATAAAATAAAATTCAACATAATATATATTATGAATTAGTTTACTCTTCCATAATGTATATTATGAATTAGTTTACTCTTCCATAATCACTAAGAGTAATTTTATTATATGACTATCCTCAAAAATTAGATGGATCAGTGCACTCTAATATATATATATATGTTCGTAATAGAAGAATCATTAGTGTATAATTTAGAATAGATTTGTTTTGATTTATGAACAAGTGTATAAAAAAAGTAGGTAGGTGAATGTTGGTCACCTATTCATAAATCAAAACAAAAGATTTGTTTAATGGATTAATCACATCTCACTTACCACTAATTTAGCTTACGATTATAATATATCACTACAAGTTAAAAGAAAACAATTGAAAACATCACAATTCTTTATTAATTATTGGTATTATATAATATCGTTGGACAATCGGACGAAACAATTTACATGGTGTCTGTGAGTGGGTTTGGCAACATCATGACACATGCTTGTTCCAAATTTGTTCCTTTTTCTGTTTTCATTTTCATATTTTAATATAGTACCAATAGTACTATTACATGATTACAAAAACAAAATGACAAGACTGTTCATTATTTAAATTTTTGTGTCACGTTTCTAACAAGAGTTCTCGAGATGATCCAACGGCCGAGTGATTACATCATTCGGCAAATTATATGCCGTTTGGGACGATCTGATGGGCACAAATGCACCATTAGAAAAAAAAGCATTTTACAAAGGCCACTCTTTAGTACAAGTAGATGCCGTTGGACTCTCTTTTGCCTTTTGCTTTTATTCCCAAAACACATCATTGGCCTTCTTCCCTTTCGAAGCCATTACCGTCTGCCAATATCAACTCAACACATGGCATGTCATCGCACGTGCACACATAAACTCATGCTAGCCATACCTATTGTCATCCGGATGTATGATGGAGCAAAACCTTTTAGAGATAGGACTCAAGATCCGTTTATTTTTCAGAATAATCAGATTGAAAAAAAAAAAATTGAGGACTTTCGCAAGAGTTCTTGAATTTGTGTATATGTGTTGCATCAATCTATTTAGCTTTAGTCATGAAACCATATAGAGCTCACTCTCTATTATACCAAGATAGAAATAGAAGAGCGATCATGATCATTTTGATACTGTTTCGCGACATAAGAATTTCGTCGTAAATCTTTAAGTACATTCTTGGCAATCGCATAGTTTGTAGCCTATGATTCAGTTGGCTGTTCCCCTTGGTTTTCATAATTGCAACTATAATGTACTTTAGATTGTACATAGGCTATGGTAAAACGAAGGTTGATTCATGCTTTAAATTGTATATAACCAAGTTTTTGATTTAAGCATCAATGTCAAAGAAAATATAAGAGAACTCTTGCCGACTATACTATAATGCTTATTCCGTGTTGATTGTCATGTTTTCCTTGCACACTTAAAACAATTCTACCACGTTGATTGTTTTTAAAATCTGAAAACTTTTTTTTACAACTAATTCATTAAAGTATATATAACTAAAATTTTGAAATGGATTAAATGATTAGACTAGAATCTACACACGTAAATATTTATAAATATATATATTTTTAAAAATAAATCTTGAAAACTAGAGTGTATAGAAAATTAACTTTAAATCATTGGTCCAACAACCCCTCCATACTTATTCTATTTTAACCTTTAGAGAAACTAAACTCCATGTTTATATATATGTACTTGTTTATTTTGCCTCATGTACTGACTCTTTTTTCCATGTAAATGTCAAATACTAATGTGATAGTTTAATACAATGAAAACTTTAAAAATGGGAAGTCGAATCTATAGTCAAATACATATAAAAAAATGGGTCGAGCAAAATAACTCTCTTTGTTCTGTCTCTATTCTCAGATCTCTTTGCCAAGAATGATTCGTTTTAAGTTATATGTTGCACTCAGTTTTCAGAAAAATACAAGTTGATATCTATTTGAAAATGAGAAAAAAAAAATGAGATAGTGTGAAGTATGAACCAAAAAACAAAAAAACAAGTACACATAGAAATAAAATGCACTTTATTCCATTCACATTTGCATTGCATCACATATTACTTATTACTATTGTCTTTTCCACAACACTATTTCTAACATACATTTACATATTCTTACCTATTGTGCCCAAAATATACAAGCACAAGTATCCTATTTATGCTTCATTCTATTATCTTCCCCCCACTTTTTTACCCATCATATCTACACAAAACACTATTACGTTAAAGTTTTGGTTTGCTTCTTTACATTGCTTTATACCATTTTAGACATATATATACATATACTCGGAACTACTACTACTACTACTAGTGATTTGATTGTTATTAGCAATAAGAGACTATACATTACCATTTTTTTCTTTCTTAGTATTCTATGATTAGTCCTCCAAAAGGAGCACGGTGCGGTATCCCCTTCCTTCGCTTCGCGATTCTTCGATTCACGGCTGATAAAGGCGGTGTCGATGGAGTGAAACTGTTATTCATAATGTCGTCATTCTTCTTGATCCTTCCGATACTCGTACTACTATACGAATCATCGGAATCCGAAAGGTTATTCGACCAATCTTTCCTTTTCTTCTTCGATATTCCGGAGATCTAATCAAGAAAAAAAAACAATACAAGATCATCATCAAGGTTGATTGATACTAGGGGGCTATCTAAGTAATTATCATCTCCTATAAACAAACAAAATATGAAGAAGATGTTGAAAGCCATTAGAGAAGAAAAGTAATGAAAATGAAAAGACCTTTAAAACTGAGGTGTTACTTAAGAACGAAGCTTTACACAAAAACATTGACTTGGAAATTTCTCCTCTCTACTTTCTCGTCAACCCAAATTGCTATTATTAATTTATTTTTCAACTCCACAATTTCTTGAAAGTTGCTATCATTGCCCCACATTTTCTTGCCCACCCAACAAGAAAAAATCTTTAAAAAAATTAAAGTCCTTTTCTCGATTCCCATCAAACAAGGATTAAAGAATAAATGACGGTCTAATTACAAAATCAATATAAATAAGGAAAAAAATTATTGAATAGTAGTTAGTTTTACCTATTCAACTAAGTTTTAGACTTTTCTTCTACAAATAGTATTTGGCTCATTACATAGAGTCCCAAAAATAGCTTTAACTTTCTCCACAAGTAAATATATAAATTTACCGACCAAAACTTTGACATTTATGCTAGTCATTTTTTTACTTGATTTTCCCGCATTTTCTCACCCAAAGATAGAAAAATTTCTCAATTTCATCAACCAAACCCAACACACAACTAACTCCTAAAGCATTTCCGATGATAGACATTAATGTTTTCTTCTTCACACTCAAATCCAACAATTCAATAAAAAAAAAAAAGTTACTCTTTTGGGGTTACCTTGCAACCAAGAGAGCAGAATCTGAAGGAATCAACGAGGCTTCGGTAACAGACTTCACAAGTATTGATCACACCTTTCCCTGGTCGAGGCTGAGGTCTCTCATTCAAGAACACAACCTTAGCACTGTTAATCACATATGTCTGAACTCCTGTTATGTCAAGAAACTTTTGTATCTCTGACACTCTTATCACATCGTGATACGATGATCTCCTTATCTGTTAAAAATTTCAATCAACATACAACTCAGAATCAATCACCAAGAACAAATCAATCAAACAAAGTAAAAAAAAAACTCTCTGATCTTTTGTCTTTTTCTCGCATTTTCTTGGGAAAGTTTTACCGAGAATCCAGGAATAATAAATGATAGAAAAAAAAGTTAGATGACCAACCAAACTAACAAAAGTTTCTTTTTACTCTCAGTGGGTAAAAAAGATATGAACTTTATGGAAGATCGTATAAGAAGACGAACCTGAATGGCGTGATGATCCTTGTGGAAAGAGAGACAAAGAGAACAGAGAGGACCATTGGTACAGTCTAAACAATACATGTTACACTCACTCTTGTGTGAATCTGCGTGTTGTTCGCATTGTACGAAGAACTTCTCTCTTAGCAAAGGTTTTAGCCACGGTGGCCATGTCTTATTGTTTTCTTCTTCAGCTCCCTGTTTCACACACACAACGAATGAGAATCAAACAAACCCGTTTTAAAAAAGAACAAGTTTCTGTTCTATAGAACAGAGTCGATTGAAAACAGAGTCGGATTTACAAAAAGAATCAATTTTTGGGAAAAATATAAAAAGATTCGAGTTTTGAGAGGAGCCCATTTGAGAAAAAACAAAAAAAGATTGATCAGAGCTGTAAAAAGAGTTTCTTGATGAGAATTTGAATCGATCTTTTAACAGTAAAAACAAGAAAAAACAGAGCATTTCTGATCAAACTAAAGAGGAACACATTTGAAGAGAGATGATGATAAAGAAAAAACAAAAGTTTGAATCTTTCTTGTATTGTGATTCATTACCATGATGATTCTTGTGTTCTTGGGGTTTGATTTCTCTGACAGTAGCGTCTTTGTTGATTCTCTTCGATCGCTAACTTTAGTGAGAGAGGAGAGGAGAGGAGAGGAGAGAGAGAGAGATGTGTTCGTGTAAAAACAAAGAGAGCGAAGAGTCGTTCTTATCCGCACAAAAGGTCGACTATACTCCGAACCTAGAGACCCGAACCTAGAAAAATACCCGAAGCTGAGCTTAAGAGAGAGATGGCTTTTTGCTACGGAAGGGTTCAATGAACCGAACCCATCCTTCCCACTTTCCTTGTTTCTTCTTCTCTTCCTTTTCACATTTATTATTTGTTTTTTTTTATGTTTAAAACTTTCTAAAATTTTAAAATTTTGTTTTCTTACTTTTTCTAATGCATTATATAACGGAGAGAATTAATCAAAAATATCTGATTCAATTCAACTAGTTTGAGGGAAAGAAAAATGCACTCAATCTAATCAAGAAAAAAAAACTGTTCTAGATCGTCATTAATGAATAGTAACGTAATTATTGTTCATTTGATTAATGATTTTACACGTTTAACACTACTTTACACTGTTTTTAATTTGTTATTTGTCTAGTCCATCAGTTTACCAATTGAATAATCAATTGTCACATTTTGTTTTCTTTTAAATGTGAATATAACTCACACCAAAATAAGTTGAGTTCAGTATTTTTATACTGTTTTATTTAAATTTTAATTAAAATTTCTGTAAAATATTTTACTTCAAATTTACCATGTATATCCAAAACAATATTTATTTTAAACGCAAACTATGCTTGAAATTTTTACTTAATTTTAAGAAGATGAGCGGTATAATTTGAATTATTTTCGTGTTTCTTATTCGCTATGAAGAGTTAAGGGAGAAGTGTCACATATGTATGCTTGACAAAAACGTTTGTATAAATCCAAAAAGATATAAGATGTGTTAAATTTAAGTAGCTTGAATCAATGTGCTTGGATACGTGAACCATCTCTAATGTAAGGTTAAAAAGCTCCCCTTCAGAATGTATAGGAGATGTGTATAGTTCACTTTAGGTCATACCTTGAATTATAACATAGAGAATAGACAAGACATTGGACTAGGTTCTATCCTTTTACACACGTAAAACAACTGTGGGTTTATCCGAACGTATTGGATCCAAGATAAAGTTCAAGATCAAATTACAATTCATATTTGATTCTTTATAAATTCGATATGTCAAGAAACTTATATTTTCACTCGTTCGTTTATTCCGAGCCAGATTATTTCAATGTCATAAGACTCTTTATTATAAGAGAGTTTTAACAATAACACTACTCAGATTTTACTAAATACGATATGGCTATAATAACCACATCACTACTAATGGATATCTATGGAAAAAAAATCCATTAAAAAGGAAAAAAGAATAAAAAAATCCAATTTGCTGTATGTGTATAAATGTCACTAATTGTGTATAGTTGGCATTAATTTTATGTAATGTGATGATGCCATTTTATGATACTATTATATGCATTAGTTATCTTTAATTTAGTGGATGTGAATGTACAATGAGAAAAGAAAGATATTGACAACCCTAATCAATGGACACCATCTTATTTATTCTATAGTTCTACAAAAAAAAATATCCTTATTTATGTACTGTCTTAATCTTTAACCTATTTCTTGTTTGCCTATATTTTTTGTCCTAATATTATTCTTTTTAATTAAATTATATTTGATCTCCTTTATTTAATAGTGACAAAACTTATCCTTTTCTGTATTTAACTAGTGTAAACATTATACATATATGTCACTCTCAGTTACACATTTTGTCACATTTTAATTCGATTATATGATATCAATTCCCATATATCTACTAATTAAACTCATCCGCATAAGAAAGTTAGCAATTCATATGGTCGTTCTCGGTTCGGTTTCGATTTTTTTGGTTCTTTAGTTTAGTATCTATTTAGTTTTGTTTGGTTTGATATTTTTTATTTTTTATTTTTGGTTTAGGTTCAATATGTTTGATTTGGTTATTTTACTTTGGACTAAGACTAGAAATGATGAATCCCAAAATTGATTTACTATCATGAAAACTTAATATAATTAGTGTTTGCCGTATCGAATCAATAGAGGGATATATGAGTCTTGGACGAAGCAACAGAGGAAAACAAATATTAATTGGGTTAGCTAAGTTTTCAACTAATCCTTGAATAATAATGACATATAGCGTAGACTAGCTCCATTATTTATTTTATACAGATCCAATTATTTGAGGGTCTGGTTTAAGTCAATCTTCTAGGTTTCTAATACTATACGTACTAACGTATATATTTATTTATTTATTTATATTAAGATAATTCTATAATAAGGAATTATTATCTTATTTTACTTGCTTGCCGGAAATAGAAGACAAAATACCTAATCAGAGAATATTATTACATTTTTAGAATTTTCTATGTCTCTCTTATCGTTTTGGCCCACTAATATCTCTGGTAATGTTATTTAAAATTTATCCAATAGATGAGCTGTACTATTCGTGATGCATACATATTGTATGTTATAAACTAAACTATAAAAAAATTTTAGCTTCTATTTTATTCTCACAAAAATTGCACTACGAAATTTTGGAAAAGAGTTATCATAAAACATGTCGCAATGTATAGTATATAAATTTTATGTAGAATTTGATATTATACTAATACTACCATAGCAAAACACATCCATACAAATTTATAATAGACGTCTATGTTTGTGAGCTTTAATCATGAAAATATGTGTTTAAATTATATTAAAATACTTTTCTTTGAACATATAATATATACATTAGAAGATATGTACTAAACTGGGTGTTTGGCTCTCTAAAGATTTCCAAAATCTTTATTTTTATGTGAGCAAGATAAGTAATAAGTGTCCTATCTACCTGCATGATTACAACAAATAAACAAAATTCATGAGCCACTAATAAACTCCATCAAAAATTAGATAAGAGTTACTAATAAGTGAAATTTTCTTTTAAAAGTTAAAGAATCTTTTAATAAGAATGAAAGATTGTCATCCAAATATATGGATCACATATTAAATGTTAATGAATAACGATTTCATTTTTGAGTTGTGTCTATTTGTAATTTGGTTTTAAATTTATAGTTAACTAAGTTTTTTTTCAAATTTGTGTTTGTCACACAAAATTGAGTATATATGTTTGACTTCAAAATTTTGAATATGTATGGTTTTTAATACATGCGAAATCTAATTTTTTTAAATATATGTATGATATGATGATTTATTTGTAATTATAGTAAAAACTTCATAAAAGCTGAACCCATGAATATAATTCTTAATATAGTATAAGTTTCAATAAATTTCAATGGACCCTTTTATTTATTTCTACAATGGTCAAATAATATTTTGGAGATGTATAGTAAATTCGTAATATCTCAATATCAACTATCAAGCTCAGTCTTTATACCTTTTTTTTTGTTTGTAAACCTTTTATACTCTTATTGTAAACCTTTTGTAAACCTTTTATACTTGGTGAACAAAAAAAAAGAAAAAAAAAAAAAAAAAAACCTTTTATACTCTTATTTAGACAAAATAAAATAAAATATCAACATTCTTCTCTCAGATTAAAGCCACGTGTCTGAATCTGTTTTGTCTCGAAGCGTTTGGTCATGGAGAAGAAGATTCAGCGGCAACTTGTGTGGAACTGAAGTGGTGGACTTATGACTTTTGATGGCCACTTGTCAATCTGATTTGTCTATTGCTTTTTCCAATTTTTTTTAGGTAAAAAATATACAACCCTCCCTTCAACTAATTTTATGAATAAAATAGCCTAAAATTTAGTGGTACAAAATAACTCTACAAATGGAATATTATAAAATGGTACAAAAATAAAAAATACAGTAGTGTTATTTTCTTTCCACTAAGAATATTGTGAATTTGATTAATTATTGGAATCATTTACAAAGTTTTTGGTCAAGCCATTCTGCTAATACATCTAAATTTTGCTAATTAGTGGACAGTTTGATTACAGTATCGCCTTGTGTAGACAAAATAAATGGCTTCAAATTTCAAATATAGATATGTTTTTTTGAAGAGATATGCATTAAGATGATATAATATCACTTTTTTACTTATGTTTTTTTAATACTTTATACCGATAGATTTTGACAACTATCTTATTTCATTAGTCATATAAGACTATGGAAAATGTCAGTTGTCGAATTATATAAATCCGTTTATTTTGAATGATCAAGACTAGTAATTACATTTATGTTATAACTATTATTTGATATCAAAGTGTTTATTTTCTATAATCTAAAAAATCCGAAACCAAAAGTTTTTGAACCGAACAAAACTAAACGAAAATTGTTTTCCAGTTGTATCAATTTTCTAAAATTACAAGAATTTAAATTTTCAATAAATCAAAGTAAAATCAAACCTATATCCGAATATCCACCCCTAAATAATTTGTTTAGTTTTGGATAACAAAATGCTTTTTCAATATAGCTTTAGTCTTTACTAAACAAACATATTATTAGATTTCACAACAACAACAACAACAAAATCCATATTCATCTTTCAATATTATTTCTTTTCAAAAAAAGAGTAACGGGCCCCGAATCTGTTATTGCATTTGACAGAATCCATATTTTTATGACATCTTTAGTTTAACTTTATATAATCAAAGCATGCTAGCTTTCTAAATTTATATCTTTAACTTTTGAAATTTAAAATGGCTGTTTTAAAACGTTCGGCCCATAAATTGAGAAGGCTTTTGAGGCCCATTTCTATCTGTTGAAACTAGGAAATGTTAATTTTTTTTTTTTTTTTTTGGTCACCAGGAAATGTTAATTTATATATCAAAAACCAAATAACAAACATATTATTTACAACCATAGTTTTAAGAGTAGTAATCAACAACATAAGAAATAGAACAGAACTATTTACAACTTAAAGTATCATTTGAAATCGATAAAACAACAATGTTAATTATCTAACGATGATGTAACATTTCGTAGATTATCATATATAATAGAAAAAAAAATGACTTAAGGTTTGTGTAAAGCTAAAGTTCTACGAGAATACACTTAAGTAGTGAGTTTTGTCGACAAGACAAATCGAACTAGTGAGTGAGAGTAGTTATCGTAGAACCTTACTTACGTGTTAAGATTGGTTTCTATTCTAATTCAGAAAGTTTTGAGTTTATTACAATCTTGTTTGCATAGAAACCAAGTGGCCATGATCTAAATCTTTAGTTGGTCAGGTCACTTTCTTTGCAAGTAAGCTTGTCTCCATAACTCGGAACTGTCTTTTTCTAAGCACATACATATGCTTTTATTTTCTTCTTACACGTCAAATATTTTGATTCGTGGACTTCTCGAATCCATTTTTAATATTTTCCCAATCGATAAAAATATTATTTAATTTTAAATTTTAAATTTAAAAGGTGGATATTCAATTTCTTTTCAATTAAATGCAACTTTTTTTTAATTAAGTTAATTTTTAATTAGTAAATAATTCCATGTCACTAAGTTTTGTGTTTAGAATATCCGAAAACTATTTCTTCTAAAAATATCAGTTGATCAATATTTATACTCATAATATATGCTAAAATTTTTATATAAATTTATTTCATAAATAGTTAGGTACGATTACACCAAAGACTTTCCGGTATGATTTCATCATATGTTATCGATCCTGTAAAATGTTTTTAGTGTTACTGATCTAAATTTAGATTTAAGATTCTTCGAATTATATTAAAAATATATATATATAATATTAAAATATTCTTGGACTCTATTAAAAACAATATTTTAAATGTATTAAACACAAAATAAAATTCAGTTAATAAATACTAATATTTCATATGTATTGAACACAAAGAAAAAAATCAATTCAAATTCATTTTAAAAATTTCGATTCAAATTCAATTTAGTTTGGTTTCTGTTATTAAATCACCAAAGGGATGAAAGAGAAGTAAAATTAATAATGTTACAATGTCATGCCACACGTGAATGAACTCAATGGTTCCATTTCCAATAATGATGCCAAAAAAAAAATAAACGGTAAATATAATATCCAAAAACGCACCGTTTCACTAATCAATCGCATCATAATGGAAATATATATGATACGACACTTATAAGTTAAATAAAACCATATGGTTAGTGTAATTATAATGAGTTTAATTAAACTAAACGCCGTAATAATTATTAAAAAAAACGCAGAAGCCTTTATAAAAAGCTCTTCTCTCTTCAACTTCTTCTTCCTTCAAACTCCGAAGAGAAAGAAAGGTTATTATTATTATTCAGACATGGACGAAGATGGTTTCTCATCGCAATGTCCGAAACACTTTTCGAAACGCGGTTATTTTAGCGGCGGAGGCGTTTGTCCGTTTTGTCTCAACGAACGTCTCTCTACTCTTTGTCCGGACTGTGCTCAAGACCTTCCTTGTTCTTGTTCGTGTAGCTCACGCGCCGCCGCAGTGTCTTTCTCTCCGTCGTCTTCTTCTTCTTCGTCCTCGTTCTCAATCTACGGTGGAGACGTTAGTTTTAACTTCTCCTCCGGGGTTGGTTCGGTAGGACGAGTCGCGAGTTTGATCGAATGCGAACCGGCTTTTAGGAGATCGAAATCGATGGCGGTTCCGATTATACCGGATTCGGTTATTGATTCCGGTTTGGAGAGTGGTAGGAGTAAGAAAACGTCGTCGTTTTGGAGGTTGTTATTGGGAAATAGAGGAGGTACTAAACCGGCGGTTATGAGGAAATCAAGATCCGTTGCGGTGGTCGGAGAAGCTGGATTTTCTCCGGTTCCGGCGACGGGAAAGGGTAAAGGATGGAACTTTCCGAGTCCGATCAAAGTTTTCCGGCAATCAAGAGTCTCGAAGATGATATTTCAACAACGTTCTCCATTGTATAGAGGTTGAAGATTATTTTTTCATGTCTTTTTTTTTTAAAGCTCTTTTATTAGAAAAAGGAGAAAACAATATTAGTTTCTTGAATTTTTTTTTTTAAATTTGTCATTGTTGATTATAATTTGTATTATAGATAGATATGTGATTTTCACAAAGTTTTATTGATTCATGTTTTAGTTGTTCTGTGATTATTTTTACAAATTCAACACCAAAAATTAAAAACTTGAACATTCTTTGAGTTTACAAGAAAATTTGGCTTATGTTTTTTGGTGTTTAATAATGCAAAGAAACTAATCAAATACTATAATTTTTTTTTTTTTGAAATATGCAAAAGCTTAGAAATGATTAAACTAGTGTGAGTATTAAAATACATTATCGGCGGATATTGTGCATGGTATTCAGGAACTAGGAGCATGTTTGTGATTTTTGTTTATTTTAGTGTTTATGAAAAGATAAATTTAATTAAATATTTATTTGAGAGATTATGGAGATATTCACATAATAATGTTTGATTGTGAGGGAGATTTTGACAGAAGGTTGATATATGTTGATAGCTTGTCACAATAGTTGTTAAAGATTGGGTTAAAAAGGAGATTTTGATTTGAAGCTAAAGTGATTTGGCCAGCTAAAAAAATATATAATCTTATGATTGACTAATAATTAATTTACTGAAATTTTATGACCTTTTCTTTAGTTACTTCATATCCTCCCTGTAAGAAGGTAGTAGACTGAGACTCACTCAATATTTTGTTTTTGTTTTATTTTATTCTTTATATTATTATTATTATTATTTTCAATAAAGAAAATTAAAATAAACAAATTTTATTTTTTTTAATATTATTTGTAATATGTTACAGTGATTACACATCAGTCCACTTATCTACATACCATATTTTCATTCAATTTTTAGAATGTTTGTTAAGTGATACTTTAATAATTCCATTCACTTATTATGTATATTTTATAAATTGGTACTAGCATACTAATTTACGAAAATATTTGTACAATTTGTTACTCATAAATTGTTAAATTATTTAAGTAAAAAAATACACTATAATTTTTAGTATGATCCTTAGTTAAACTTAAAACTAGTAGTAAATATTTCAAAAGAAACATGATATCCCAATTTTTTTTCCCCCTCTCATATGATATCCCAAATTTTAAGTTGAATATTACTAACAATTGTTATGTTATCTTGGGAGCTACAATACAAAAAAAACATGGGATTTTTTTTTTTTTTTTTTTGCTGTAAAAAATATGCATTCAATTTTTTAAAAAATCCCATATTATATTGTAAAATTCAGTTATGCTATATCAAAAACATAAAGAGTCTATGCAAGTATACATTGCATGTACATCATACGACGAGAGCTGCGTCGGTTCACCAACCACCAATCAGCTCAGTTTTGGCCTATCCGCAAAAATTGTATAAAAAGACAAATCATTTGTTTCTTGGCAAACCCAATTTCTTAATTATGCAAAAGCATTATCTTGTATAAAGTTGAATTTAAGCATCTCACGAAACACATTATTGGTCCAAAAACGCATCTCATCATCATTATGGTTGATATATAAAGATAACAAAGTATTCTACAAAATTATATGAGCTCGAAACTGCTAAAAAATGTAGCAAGATCGGGTTGTAGAATATAGATTAAGTCTTGTAATGTGGTTATATGTAAATGTTTTACATTGTGTGTTGATTGATGCATTATGCATTAAGTACCTCATACTCTTAAGTTGACCTAATTAATCTTCATATAGTCTCTGAAATCTCATGTTATGATGTTACTATGAAAGTTTTGTATGAATAGTCTTTGATAAATTAGACTATTGGTTGACAATTAACAATGATTTAGCTAAATCAAATGCGCCGATGTTATAAACTCTATTGATTAACTAAAATCCGCCGATTGATACGTTAGATTCGTTGAATCTCATTAGTGTTAATTACATACTATACAAAAACATATAAATTTGGCTTAATCAAATCTACCTAGAGATTCTATATATCTTTATCGTAATAATTTAACTGAAATTGTAAGAGTGGTGGATAATATTTTAAAATTGATCAGGAGGGTATGGGAGATATTGGTTCACATGGAAAATAAAACGACAGTTGATTGATTAAGCTCACACATCTCAAACAAAATAAAAAGAACATGTCACTAACAATTATTTATCAAACTAACATGTCACTAACAATTATTTTCAGACTACTCATAAGTATATCTACTCAGATTTCATTATTTTTTTTCTTGCAATAAATTATTTCTTATTTTTGTCAACTATCTTTTTTTTTTGCCTAAAATATATGAAACTATTTTTATCTTAATTTTTTCTAAGAAAGTATATATTCATTTCACAATGAAAATTTGTGTTACACAATTAAGCATAACCAAATATAAGGTCCATACCAAAAGATAAGAAAAACATGGAAGCATATCATATTCTTGTACCAAATCATCAATATCAAACCATGCACTAGCATAATGATTATGGTAAAATATAATTTGATGCAAGGTAAACCGAATTTTTATAGTGAATAAAAACATCAATGTTGTATTCCGTTCAAATATAGTGTGTATCAAGTAAGTTGTTCGAAAGGATTACAGATAAGCGCTAAAATTTGTTAAAAAATTTAAGCCAAGAGAGAAAGATGGATTTATGATTTATAAACCCTTATGCTACATGAAACTGGAATACAAACATTGTCTAGATAAGAATCAATACTAGGGAATATAATCAAAGAAAGAAAAAAAAATAAGTAAAATGAAAAAAACGATACTAATAGTAAAGAAATCACTAACCACCGATTTCAAATATAAAAAAAGTGATCATAAATATTCTTTTAGAATAAATAGATTAAAAATAAGTATGTATTTCTTTTAAACATATTTACAAAAAATGATCATACATATTTAAATTATTACAATACAATACACATATTTTCACAATTCTCTTAATTATCGATTGTTGTCCCACACATAGATCATCATCTAGTGCTACTAATTAAGTGGCCAAGATAATTTGCTCAAAGTGTGACAAACCTACAACTTTCACCAAGTCTTCTACAAGCCGCCATAGCTAAAAGAGTAATTGGTAACTGTTAATTTTCTTTTGGACTTTTGATACACGGAACTCTCTTTCACTTCATGTAATGGATAATGTATTTGATCGCCACAACCAAATACTATAAACTAGATATATAGAATGGTTGGTGAATCCTAGGCTGACATGTGTTACACCCGGGGATGATTTAGGAGTTAACCAAAGATTCACGCAAATGCATGCATTGTCCAATTGCACTTTACAGCGATTAATTATTTAGGTACTGGTCCACTGTAGTATACTACACAACACCAATCATTCTCGTTTTAAGCAATAAAACAATTCATAGGTACAATGTGTAAACTAGAAACAATTAGAGATGTATATATTCGAAAAAAAAATCTCTATGGTACTGTTACATACTAATTATTTCGAGCAAAAAGAATATGTTAGATTCGTGGTTATTGACACAAACACATCATGGTTCGAGGGACCATATAAATTTATTTTCAAATTAAAGGAAGAAAAAACTAAAAAATAGCACAAAGAAAGGAGACAAATTAAAGTATAATTTTTTTTATTTTTCTAGTATGCTAAATAAAACATATGTTTTTACCATGCAGTTCATATAAAACAAAAAATAGTGTTATTATTTCATGATTTTCTTAACAAATATTTTAAATATCAAAAAACCAACTAGTCTTAATTATATTTAAACAAAAATAATATAATCGAGGTTTTCTAGTAGTTTCCTTCATTAATGAATATAAACACTCAATAATTGAGAAAAAAAGATCTTAATAAAATTAGTTTTGATTTAGAAGAAAAAAAAACGAAGGGGAGGCAATAGCATGTGCATGGAAGCCCTACAGAACAAGTGATCGACCTCTTCTTTCCTTTGGTCTTCACTTCACTTTATTAACAATCAACTTTATCTTCTTTGTCTTTTTTCCTAAAGTTGAATCTTTATATTTATACAATTTTCTTAAAATTGTCTGTAAGAAAAAAAAACCTTTTTGTTACACTTTCTTAATCGTAACGCTGAGCCAAAGTAACAGGAGTCACAAAACCAAGTACGTTTTTGTTTCTCAACTTCTTTATTTGTTCGTTAAATATAGACAAAATCAAGAGCTATATTATTGATATAGTTTGGTAGTTGTTCTATTCATTTAACAGTATAGAGATAGAGATCTGGTCCGTATTACAAACTATATACAATAAGTTATCGCTTCGAGCGATGCTACTAGATCTAGAAAAGGGGATAAGAAGCTAAGACATATATAACTAGTTAGATTGAGATAAAGAATAAACATTGAGACAAGTTTTAGAGATCCAAATCCTAACATGCAGTTCTATGAAACTTTTTCTAAACGTTGTCTTCTCATTGTAGCAAAAAAATACGAATAATTAATTTGGAAATTGAACTTAGAAAATCGTATATCTTTTCAGACCTAGCTAGAGAATTCTATTTTTTTTTAAAGAATAGTTAGGAAAAAGAGAAGCGACAAAGAGTGGCACACGAATGGCCTTTCGTTTTCGTTATCAACATTCTTGCTACTTCTTGTTTTTCTCTCCAAAAGAAACCCATCACGATATAATTTTGTCATTTTTTTTCAGTTGTATTGTGTATATTACGAGTTATCAATATAAAATAACTATACATTATAAATGGCATGGACGTTCAGAACTCAGAACATGTTGTGATACGCTCAAGTCTCGTCATAGCAATTGAAAATCACTTATGTATCTTTACATGTTTTGGAGATTAATCTAGATTTGAATTATATATATGATTCTGACTTCAAAAGAAAAAAAAAAAGTGAATAACGTAACAAACTATTTCTCTTTGTTTTGTTTTCTAGTTTGTAGAGATGTATGGATCCATATGTCTTAAAGTTCTACACACAAGGAAATAACATAATAAAATATAAAAATCGAGATGTTAATTTATCTATGTATTATATACATAACCGAAACGATAGATTTGTATTAGTTTTTGATTTGAGTTGAAGTTAACTTTAATTAAATATATCATTGACCAGAAGAACATATAGTTATTAACGTAGTACTAGTTTTGTTGTTGTGTCACCACACCTACTTAAGTGTAAATTTGCAATTTTCAACCACA